CAAACCACTATTAATGTCCCCCACTTTGCATAATTACAATAGGCCCACGGAGTTATATTTCATATTTCTAGTTTTGGATACAAGAGTGGTACATTTATCCAAATGGATGATCCCACTCAGTAGATAAGCTTTGTAATGATACCTTACAAGAGACCTTTTGCATGAAGCATATCCCAGTTATAAAAATATAAGTGAATATAATGTAAAACCATAGACTGCACAATGTCACTAACCTAGTCTGGTTTCCCACCCCCCACAGTTACAAGACCCTGCAGAAGACTGGAGCACCTTCAGTATCCAAATGGGAGAGAGCCTGCTCATCTGAACCTCATGCAGCTACAATTGACTGTACAAGGGATGGTTTTCTTTATTCAACTAAAGTTTCCTGGGAAGTGGCAATAATCCAAGCTCCTACTGTAGATCAGGGTGGGGTGGATTTTCAAAGGCACAAACTGGAGTAGGATGCCTAATTGCCCTTTGTGCCTGAGGAAAACATGTAGCTGTTATGGGCTGCTCCAGGAGCACTAGCTTTTATTTTTTGTAATTTCAAAACATTTACCTTGGTCTGTGTGGTGGTGTGTGCACACCCCATCTCCTGGCAGGGGGGATAGTGGGTGTGCATACACCACAGTTACAGTCTACCAGGCTGTCTTGGGCATCACCACAATGAGGGCCAATGGCTAGAGTCCCTACCACAGCCCTCAGGTGCAGAGCAGCATGGCCTAGCAGCTAGATCCAGGGGCCAATACCAGATGAGGTGGCAGCCAGGGTAGGGGGACCCAGGCCCACCTGACTCCACTGGGTCCCAACCCAGTGCCCTAACAATGGCCATGTGTCCACCACTGGGTCAGTAGGGAATCCAACCTCAACCTGCTAATCTTAGATGGGTGGGAGACACCCTCCCTGGGTCACCTCCTACCAGGCTCCTGAAGCTGCAGTCCATAGGTCTCCAGACCAGATTGCAGGATCTCCACTACAGCCTCCACCACATGTCCTTCCTCCTTGGCAGTCGGACCAGATTGAGCTGAGCTGCTCTCCTTTTATACTAGCACAGCATTTGGAGCATGCCCAGCATGGTCTGAGGGGCGGGGCTTCCTCGGCCTATAGTGGGGGATTAACCCTTTCCTGCCTAGTGCAGGGTATGCACACCCCGTCACAGCCTGTAACCTGCAAAGATCAAAATCCAGCCAACAATCAGAGGCCTGGATGCAGTGAGATGGGACAGCAATATTTCACTTTCATAATCCAGACAGTACAAATAGCTGTTGAAATCAGAGCGATTATTAAAGATATGATTCCTCCATTACAGCAGCTGGTGCTTTAAATGCACCTAGCTTTAGGTAACTATTAGTATGGATACAGATGGGAAGACTTTGAGGTGGGGGGGCTATGGTGCAATTCTCTAATCAAAAGCTCTGAGAGAGGGATGAGGTGATTAGTACTAATGGATAACTGAGTATTGAGGAATTGGGTGGATGCTGTATTTTGTGGGAATTGAACAGACATGAGCTAACTGGAGGGTCTGGATGGTGGTCCACAAAGGGAGACTAGTGAGGTGATATCCCTCTTTTTGACTGATGTGTAAAGGCAGTCTGATAGGCTTTTCTAAAAAAATTGTGTATGGTGTTTTCTAATCTGCTATACAGATCTCCTATCCTGTAAGAATCTCTACATTGAGCAGAGGGCTCAAGTAACCCAGCCCAAGTGAAATTGACTGGAAACAGACAGGCACAATGGGATAATGGCATCATAAGCAGCAAGGAAGTGAAATCCAAAGAACAGACAAATGAAGGGATTTTTGTAATAGGTACTGAATAGAAATGCTACTTGAACAGTGGGGGGAAAAGGTCTCTAAATAGTCCCCCAGGCTGCAGTTTGCTGCTCCTCCAAGGAGAGTGCCACCAAAACCAGACTTTATTTTTAAGTTGAAACACTGAAAAGGGGTTTTCTGAGGGCACGAGGGGAACTTTCAGGCCCTCCAGCTCTGTCATCAAGAAGCAAAAGAATCTCTTTTCTTGCAAGTCACTTTGGAAAAGGAGGTGAGAGGGAAAGAAGGGGGGTGGAACTGCTAAATCGATAACATTTTGCTTCAAGGAAAACCCCCCTTTCAACTGATTGCCTCCTTGTTTTGGTCAAAACATGAGGTGGGGGTAGAGGTTAGATATAAAGAATAGCATGTTAAACAAGCAGATCTGTAGCCTGCACAGCTGGACCAATGACAGGGATCTGGGCCTTCTTACTTATTGTCATTCCCAGCTACCCAGAAGCACACACTGTTTTAAGGAGGGATGAGTAAATGCACTAAATAGAACTACACTCAACAAGGGGCCGTAAGCTGTGATTTATCTAACATTGTGCCACTGTCCTTCCTGACGGGCCTCAGAAAGCCTGGCTTGGCATCTGATGAGCTGAGTTACACTGCGTTACAAGCAACCTGTAAAGACATGCCAGCTCCAACCTTGCCCTACCGCTGCCCCCATTTTGGCTGGGTACTGAAGACAGGTTCTAAAAACCCCTGCCCATTAGTCTAAGGTAACACATCAGCTAGAAAAAATTCATCGCTAAACACATGTTAAGCACCTATCTGGTGGTCATCACTAGGGTGTTTGCAGATGTAGGAAGTGGGGCAGTTAGTCTGTATCATGTAATGTTCAAATGTTAGCGGGCATCCAATCTGGAAAAATCATAAAATCACTAAAAGGGCCATAACTCGAAGAAACAGTCTAATTTTCACCACAATCAGCAGAAATTTTCTAAATACAATTGATAATGCAACTATGTAATCAAAATAGTGCTGTTCTGGAAAGTGTGGGAAATATTTAGCTTCGGGTGATATGTTTTGTGCATTTTCCCGTCCTTGTTTGTCTTCAGCTAAAACAGAAGTCTGTAGTCACAGGACAGTATAAGTTTGTTTGAACCATGTAATGCATCAAAATATCTGTCATTATTTGTAGAATGGACTTATTGGAGAAGTTTTTCTGTCTGCAATTTTATATTTTATGAATATTGGCTGGTGCGCAATGATTCCTGCACCGGCAACTGATGTTAATACAGCATACACCAGGATGAAATATTTTCAAGATATGTTCCACTCTCTGGGCCACGACTGAACTTATGTCATGTATGATGAAACAATTTATTGCAAAGCACCGTATGTGGGAGGTGGATGGTTCCCATCCCACTTCTTCTTGCTGAGAAGAGAGTTTAGCACTCAGCTCTCAACTAAATGGCCTAAGTGCCTGGCTAGGAAGTAGTGGGATGTGAGGTCTCCCTCAGTCCTTTCTGTTGAAGGTAGGACACCTTCAGTAAGTATTACATGAGAATTGGGCCAGCTACTATGCATGATTCCCACTGTAGTGCTGTGGTCTGGCTACTTACCCAAGAAACAAAGAGGTGCCGGTTCAAATCCTTTCCCAGAGACAGGATGGGCGTCTCAATCTCTTACTGCTTCAGCGTTCCACTTTAACTTTATATTAACCGGAGCAAGGTAAGATCTCAAGTCCCTCTACGGTACGGGGGTTAGGGTGCTTGCTTGGATTGTGAGT